GCTACAACTGAAGCTCTGAACAAAGGACTGAAGGACCCATCCCAGCTGGGGATGTTTGTACTCCAGAGACTTGCCTAGTTTAAATCAGCAGTAATCCCACCAAGCCTGAACTAAGAACTTTGCCATAACTGTATGTATTTGATTCCCTTTAACCAATTTTAACTCATCTCTATTTCTTTCTTTTTATGAATAAACCTTTAGATTGTAGATTCTAAAGGATTGGCAACAGCGTGATTTGTGGGTAAGATCTGACTGGTATATTGACCTGGGTCTGGGGCTTGGTCCTTTGGGATCAGGAGAACCTTTTTTCTTTTACTGGGGTATTGGTTTTCATAACCATTCGTCCCCCACAAGGAACGGTGCTGGTGGTGATACTGTGAAACTGGAGTGTCTAAGGGAATTGCTTGTGTGACTTGTGGTTAGCCAGTGGGGTGAGACCGAAGTCCTCTCTGTTTGGCTAGTTTGGTTTGCCTCAGTAGTGAAGGACCCCAACCTTGGGCTGTGACTGCCCTGCTCTGAGCAATTTGTCCTGAATTGATACTCTCAGTTGTGTCCCGCCAAAGGCCACTTTGTTACAAGGGCTCCTCCCTCTGGCCTGCTCAGCCCACACCCTAGATCCTCTCCGCCTCATGGAGCTGCTCCCACCTCCCTTGTGCCCAAGTGAGGCACTGAGCCACCATCCCAGTGAGCCAGCAGGACCCACTGAACCCTTCCCCAGCAGGATCGACACCTGACAAACCACTGCAATAACCCAACACTGCCCTGTTGTGGTGACGCCCCTCGCCCCCCTGCAGCCCCCCCGACACCTGCGAGGGACAGGGGGACCCACCTGCCTGTTCTCCACATCGCGCTCATCCTCGTTCACCAGCAGCATGTAGGGCTTGTGCGGCAGCCCGGGGGCCTTCATCCCCAGCACGAAGAGGGTGAATGTGCAGACGTATCGCAGCACCCACAGACTGAACTGCACCTGCGAGGGAGCCACAGATCAGCCACTTGCACCCCCGAGATCCCAGCCCCCCCGCAGGTGGGAGCCCTCAACTTCGAGCCAGAGACCTGGAGAACAGGCCCGGGGCTCAGAGACAAGCGGCCCCCGGCAGCACTGGGAGGGGGAAGGGCCCAGGCGCGTGGGCGAAGGCAGGACGTTTGGCTGGGCTGGGTCGTGCCTGTGTGGACGGGCTCAGACCGGGGCGGCAGGCCCACGAACCAGGAGGTGAGCGGAGGCTGCGATACAAGCCGGGCTCTGGACAGAGACAGCAGCTCTCGCCAGGGCCGGACAGACAGAGAGAGGGAGCTGGAGCCCAAACGGTCCTGCCACTGGCCGCTCTGGCCTCGTCCGAGCCGCTGCTCCCCTGTGCCGACCCGCGGCCTTCCCCAGGCTGGCTGCAGGACACTAGGGAAGGCCTGGCGCTGCCAACGCCGGTGCACGGATCCGGCGCAGCGCGAACGTCTCCGACCGCGGCCTGCGCTCACTGGGCAGAGCTGATGGGCCAAGCAGGAGGGCTAGGGCCAGAAACTCAGCATCGGAGGCCGCGTGGGCTGCCCTTGGGGCCTGGCGCACTGACGGATCCTCCCAGGGACTCTTCAACGGCCCGAGATCCGGGACTGCGGGTCCCGCTGAGGTCCAGGCCCTGGGGGGCACCAAGCCATGGGGGAGGGGGGTCATGCCACGTCCTGGCAGCTCCCCCTCCGGCTAGTCTCTCCCCGTGTCTGGTGAGGTCTGGGAGCTCCGGGATCTGGGGCGCTGGGCAGTCACCTCCCTCCCAGCGCAGAGAGGGGCCCCACGGCCCAGGCTGGTGGGAGCTGTCCTGCCCCAGCCAGGGGTGGGGGAGCTTGGCCAGCCGGAGCTCTAGGATGCGGCTGGGGGCTCCCCTTGCCTGGGAACTGGTACCCCTAGCACCCCACCAGGGGATTCCACAGCTGCCCCGATGACTCCCCCCTCCACGGCTGCCGGGTGAGGCTGGAGAAGAGGAGCCAGGGTCCCACCCCGGGAGGAGATGTGGGAAGCACGGGGCCCCTAGATGAGATATCGGGACTGGGTCGAAGAGGGGCAGCTGTCTGGCTGGGGGGGAGGGGGAGGGGTATCTAAAGCCCCCCCTTCCCCTGAGAGCTACCCCCATCTGCGCAGTGGGACCAAAGAGGGACGAGACAGATATCCTGACCCACGGTGGGGGGGGCAGGGCCTGGGGGTTCAGTGCTGTGTGACTGGCCTGGGAGTAGGATGAGCTCCCTGCAGGGAAGGGGGCCCCACATCTAGTCCTGGGGACCCAGAACGCAGACACCCTCCCCCCCTCCCCCAGTGACTCAGCCAGTGGGAGCCCTGCCCTGCCCCCCCCCCACGTGGCTGCTCCACTGCCAGCCCCACCCCACCGTGACTCAGCAGAACAGTCAGCGAGAGCCTGCCCCCCTCCCCACCCGCCCCACTGCTGGCCCCACCGTGACTCAGCAGAACAGTCAGCGAGAGCCTGCCCCCCTCCCCACCCGCCCCACTGCTGG